AAAAAAAAAAAAAAAAGGGTGGAGCCCACAGGGCCACATGTTGAATGAACACAGCACCTGCTTTTCAGAACCTCAGTTTTTCTTCCCACCTGTGAGATGGGACCAAGAGCACCTGTCCAGCTACCTGGGAAAATTACTTTGTAAGTGACAGGGCCTGTCTGTCCTGCACCAGGAGCAACTCGGGAAGATCAGTCACAGAAGAGAAGCTGTTGGGGAATGGAAGATTCACTCAAAGGGGTTGTGTGGGCGTCAGAGCCGCAGAGCCTGAGTTGTGACAGGCTCTAGGTATCGCGAAGGCCAGGTCTACACCATAGACCCAGAAGCAAAGAGGTCTCCAGTGTGACCACAACAATATGGCCTGGATGCAAATGGCCAGGTACCAGACATCAGTCTTCATCTCAGGAGCCACTTGGTGCTGGGGTAAAAAGGGCAGGGAGGAGGCAGATTTAAGTAGGGCTCCTGAGCTCCTAACTACATAGGTAGCCAAGCTGAGAGAAGCTGTGTGTGTGTGTGTGTGTGTGTATGTGTGTGTGTTCTGCAGCTCAGAACCCCACCAAAACCTTTACTGAGGCCAAACCCTCACTTCCAGCCCAGCCTGAATCCTCTGCCCAAGGCCCTGATGAGCACCCTGGAGTCTGGGGCCCCAGCCCTTACTGCCAGGTCGGTTGGCAGGTCAGGCAGTGCCCTTCATACCCTTCCTGCCTGCCTGGCCCTGGGTTCCCACCCCTTTTTTCTGGGGAGGGACTTTTTACTTACTCTTCCTCTAAGCCCACCCTGGGCAGGGACACACAAGGGTATCAGACACACCCCTGCTCCAAAAAGAAGAGGTGCCAGTAGAGCAATGAGGGCACTAGAGTCCTGGGGAGACCAGACCAAGCCTGGAGAGACAGGGACGGCTTCCTGGAGGAGGAACTGATAAGCTGAGGCCAAAGGACAAGACAAGGTTAGTAGTACATGAGTGCATAGAACTAGGGGTTGTGTGGGATCCACTAACCAGCTGGGTTATCTTGAGCAGAACTCTTAATCCATTGGGGCTTGAGACACCTCATCTATAAATTGGATGGTTTAAATAATATATGGTGCCTGGCCAGTGTGGCCCAATGGTTGAGCACTGACCCATGAACCAGGAGGTCATGGTTTGGTACCTACTCAGGGCACATGCCTGGGTTGTGGGCTCGAATCCTTGTAGAGGGCGTGCAGGAGGCAGCCAATCAATGACTCTCATCATTGATGTTTCTATTTCTCTCTCCCTTTCTCTTCCTCTCTCTGAAATCAATAAAATCATATTTAAATAATGTATGGCAAGAACTTAGTATGGCACCTAGCAGGTTTTTGATCTACCATGGACATTGTTATTTTTGTATCAGGCAAGGTTGGTATCCCAAGCAGGGGGAACAACACATGCAAATGCCCAAAGGTCTTTGAGCCAGGAATATTCTTCAGACTCCTGGAAGGAGCTTGTGAAGGTCCAGTTCAAGCCCTGGGTGGGAAGATGAGAACTTACCCAAACTGTGGTGCTGCTCCTACTGCACACCCAGCTTTCAGCTGAAAGAGTCCTGCTGTCCTCCAACTCTGGGAGGCTGCTGCTATCGATACACACATTGTGTAGAAGCTGGGAGAGGTGCAGTAACCAGCCATGGTTACCCAGTCAAAAAGTGGTAGAGCCTAGATAGAAACCCAGGTCTCTAAGGCTTCCCACCTGCCACAAGGCATCCAGAGGGAGTCCAGGGAGCACAGAGAGTACCTGTGCTGCTTCCACCATGGCAGCCCTGCCCAGTCTCAGCCAAATCCCTGCTTTGCAGTCTTCGGTTTTTCTACCTGCCAAAGGGGACTAGGATTAAAATTAGTCAGCTGCTAACCAGGCCTCTGTGCTCTCACTTCATTGAAACCTCACAAACAGAGGAAATGGATGCTCAGAGAGGTCAGGGAACTCTGGGAGGTCACACAGCCCAGAAAGCTGCTGCATTATTGGTCCATTTCATAGATGAAGACATGGAAGTGGCACAAGAAGCTGAAGAACTGTTTAACTCCAGAGGTCCTTCAGCCCTAACCAGCTGATTGCACTACCCTTGGAGAACCATGGAAAGTTCTCTGGTGTTGCTGTTTCCTGGGAGGTGGTGTGGGGACCCAGCTGGGCCCATAGGGGCCTCTAGCTTTACCTTCTGTAGAAGCAGGCTGACCCCAGCACTCCGGGGCCACACCAAAGGGCAAGCTGGCCCCCATGGCAGCCCCATTCTCTCACTCCCCGCACCTGAACCTCTTCCTTCTGCAGATGCAGAATGTGACTCCCCCGGGGAGTGAGACTGGGGAGGGGTCCTCACAGCTGCAACTCTACGAATGAGCTGATAGAGTCTGAATCCCCATGGACTCTGGAACAAGAATTTTGCAGGTAAGGACTTTGGTCCTTGAAGAAGCCCTTCTCCTGTCTCAGCTAGCACCAAGCCTAGGTTATGGGCTCAAAAGTTCCCATCTGGGGGAGGGGTGTGGCATGGGGTGGAATGGGTCATTGGGAAGAAAAAGGGACATCTGTAATATTTTAAACAAAAATAATAATAAAAATAAGTAAATGAAATTCACTACAAAAAAATAAAAGTTCCCATCTGTAGGCATAGGAGGTTTAAATAGATAATGTATGCAGGTGCTTAGTACCATAGGGAGACTTGAAAGGATCGGCACAGTCGGGTTGCAGGCACCACCAGATGCACCCTCCCCTAGCTGGGGGCCCAGGGCCCACCCCCAAGTTTGGGCATATCCTGTTGCAGGTTTTCAGCTACCTGAACCCATGGCAGGGCCAGGTGAGGTCTGCTCACGCCCCATCTGTGATTTTGACACACACGGAGCCTGTTTCTCCAGGCCCAGAGGAGCAGCCTGACTTCCCACCAGCCTGTTGGCCTAAAAGGGATTGTACAGTGCCTGGGAGAGTGTCTGGGTCTGTCTCAAGGGCCATGGTGCCAAGAACAGGGAAAGGCCTGGAGCCAGAGAGACCCCTGGATAGCCTGGGAAGGACGCGGGGTGGGTTGAGCAGGGGTGCCGAGAGCCTATCCCCGGCCTAGGCAGCTGGGAGAGGAGCGAGGGCTTGTGCACCCATAGCAAGGGATGAGAGAACACGCCCAGAGGCGGAAGGGGCGCGCGGAGACCCCCGGGGGCGCCGGAAGGGGCGCGCGGGGCGGTTGGCCCGCTGGGGCGGCAGCCGTTGGCGAGCGGAGGCCTGGGCCAGGCGACTTCAGGCGTCTGGCCGGGCAGCAGCCACCATGACCAAGGACTCGCCTAACTCTTCCGGTGGCAGCCGCGCGACACCCAAGAAGCTGGCTAGTCCGGGCCCAACGGCGGCGGTGCTGGAGGAGCAGAAGCGGGAGCTGGAGAAGCTGCGGGCCGAGCTGGAGGCGGAGCGAGCGCGCGGGCGGGAGGAGCGGCGGCACTTCGCGGCCGAGGCGCGCCAGCTGCGGGAGGCAGCGGAGCGGGAGAGGCAGCAGCTGGTTGACCATCTGCGCTCCAAGTGGGAGGCACAGAGCTGTCGGGAGTTGCGGCAGCTGCAGGAGAAGATGCTGAGGGAGCGCGAGGGCGAGATCCGGCAGCTGCTGCGTTGGAAGGAGGCCGAGATGCGGCAGCTGCGGCAGCTGCTGCACCGTGAGCGCGACGGCGTTGTTCGCCAGGCGCGGGAGCTGCAGCGCCAGCTGGCCGCGGAGCTGGTGAACCGCGGCTACTGCGGCCGCGCGGGGGCGCCCGAACTCCCCGCCGCGCAGTGTCGCTGTCGCCTGCAAGAAGTGCTGGCGCAGCTTCGCTGGGAGACCGACGGCGAGCAGGCCTCGCGCATCCGCCACCTGCAGGCGGCGCTCGATGTGGAGCGCGAGCTTTTCCTCAAGTACGTTCTGGAGCACTTCCGCTGGCACCCGGTTTTGCCCGACACCCCGGATCTCCAGGCTGTGCATTCTTCGGAAGAGCCGCACCCCGAGACCGCCGGCGACTCACACCATCCCCCAAAGTTCGCCTGTCGACTCGAATCCCTCGACGGCCTGAGCGCCAGCGTTCGCGTGCGCTCCCGCTCCCTCGACGTGGTGCCCGCAGCGGGCTCCAACTCCCGCGACAGCCGGCTCCCCGCGCGCGCTGGCTCCCTCGATTCCTTAGCACCAACGCGTTCCCTCTCGCTCGACAGCACCCTGCGTCGTCCCAAGGCCTCCTCTTCTCCAGACACTTTCATCCTGGACTCCCCGAGTCCCCCGCCGCTGCCACCAGCATCGGAGCACAGGGGACCTAGCGACGGTACAAGAAAAGACTCCGGGAGCCAGCCCTGCGAGGCTCTGACCCTGTCGCCGCTGAGCCTGGACTACCACGAGCTTGTGAAGCAGAACTCGGAACTGTCCGAGGCGTTGGAGGTGCTGGCGCGCCGTTGCTCCGGCCTGCTGCGAGAGAACATGCGGCTGCGGCGCTCGGGTTTCCCAGACAAGGCGGAGGAGAAGGTAAAGCGGCTCAAGGTGAAGCACGCGGAGCTAACTGGCCTGGCTCGCCGCCTGGAGGACCGGGCCCGCAAGCTGCAAGAAACTAACCTGCGGGCTGTGAGCGCGCCTGTGCCTGGGGAGAGCCGCGTTGGCCTGGAGCTGTGCCAGGCCTTCGCCCTCCAGCGCGCCCGGGACTTGTCGGAGCAGGCGAGCGCGCTGCTGGCCAAGGACAAGCAGATAGAAGAGTTGCAGCACGAGTGTCACTTGCTGCAGGCCCGCGTCGCCTCCGGCCTCGGCAGCACCCCGCACCCCAGTGGGGACGCGGCGAGCGCCCAGTGGCTCAAAGTCAGCGACTTGGACCGGCTGCAGCGAGAGTCCCAGCGGGAGGTGCTGCGCCTGCAGAGGCAGCTGACTCTGCAGCAGGCTAC